TTCAACTTAACAGAATTTCTCATGTTTGCTCCTATTAACATCATGAGCTGGACACTTCTGTGTTCTTGGGGGCTGTTCTGTATGTCATGGGATATTCAGCAGCACCCCAGCTCAACCCATTAGATAAAAGCAGCACTGTACCACCACCAATCCTTCCTTGTTGTTAAAAGAAAGAAAATGCCTTCAGACATTGACAAAAGTTCTGAGTGGCAAAATCTCCCCAGGTTGAGAATTGTATCACTAAACATAAATATAATAGGTAGCACTTAATACACATCTCCTTCTTTGCTAGTAAAATATTAAAACCTAAGATATAGATTATTTTTAAAATTTCCATTTATAGATTAGTTAACACATTCTTAGAGAATTTAAGTCATTTGGCTACATGGCACAGTCAGTAAGTAGCAAGAATAGAACCAAAACCAGTTACCTGATCACAAAATCCATACTCTTAATTTTTCATTGTTCTTAAATATGATTTTGAGCAAAGCCATGTCAAACTAAAATGCACCAGTTTACTCATTTGTAAAACCAGAAATTTGTACATATATCATCAAATATTGAAAATTCCATAAGAAAGAAGATATCTAAAGAAGGAAACCAAGCACAAACTTTTTTGATGAGACTATAGTAAGTGGATCTGTATTTCATGACAGTTTCCATTATGGGCTAATTAATAATATGTCTCCACATGTTTCATGAATCATGAAAAATTGTATAGATGTAGGTATTCATAGGTGTTCACTAGTACAGTGCAGATCAAAGTCAGGATAAAAAGAACAAAATTTAAATTTCATAACCTAAAAACCATCAAGTTCTGCAAAAAAATTTAATTAGGACTAGAATTGATATTTTAAAATATATGTTCTATCACATACTAAATTATATTTCTGAATCCAATCTGRGAAATATAAATATATATTTAAATACACATATGCATATCATTAAATTATATAATTCATAATTGTTATACTAATTATTAGAAATAATATTTTTGAGAATAACAATTACAGTTCTTAGTGACTTGAAAAAGTRATTCATAGATTTTTTCCAACTCAAACATCATGGAAATTTCATATACAATAAAAAAACTTTAATTTGAAAGGAGTTTGTCTGTATATGTTCCATATTCCAACTCCTGGTTGTTTGGTCGGAATAACATCAAATCTGTAGTTTGACTTATTTTTGTATCCACTGCTTTAACTTGTAAATATGACTTCTTTCTCTGGAAATGACTTGACCACACAAAGACTATACATTTTTCCATGAAATAATGCTAAAGAGTAAATGTTTTGAGGAATGGAATTTGATTAATAAATATGGTATAGAATTTGTGTTTAAGGGAAAGTAAAGTTTGCTTATTTTAGATATGTAGGTTTTAAGTTAAAATCATTTCTATCTTTCCAGTGAACCAAGCATAAAAGTTTATTTTCAGATCAATTTATTGTTTGATGCTTCTCTCAGTTGCATATGGATGGTCAGACCACTAAAATTCATTCTCTACCTTCACTTTGCCTCTTTCTCCCTCCTTTGCACTTCCTTTCATTCTCCTCTCCTCAAAGGAGAAGTGGAGTTATGAAAATATCAAACTGCATTTTGCATATTGCCTTAAATAATGTGTGTCTTTAATGCGATGTTATTGTTTTTCTTTAAATCATGTCATTTGGAGGGGGTACCTGGTATTGATCTCAGGGATATTTGACCACTGAGCCACATCCCCAGCCGTATTTTGTACTGTATCTAGAGATAGGGTCTCACTGAATTGCTTACCACCTCACTTTTGCTGAGCCGGCTTTGAACTGGTGATCCTCCTGCCTCAGTTGCTCTAGCTGCCAGGATTACAGGCATGTGTCACCTTGCCCAGTAGACTTGTCATTTAAAATATCAAATTAAAGGACAAAAATAGCATGATTTTGAGGTAATGTGTATATATATATATATATATATATATATATATATATATATATCCATATAATGTGATTTTCAGTGAAACGTTAGGGAAATATAAGATTTTTTTTATTCAAGTTTACTTATTCTCAATAAGTTATTCTAAGTAGTTTCTTTAGAAACCCCTTCAATCATGTTTTTAATGGTACTTCCTTTGAGAATTGAAATGACATTAGAAACTGTCTACAGCACAAGTTAAATGCCCTTATTCTAATTCTGATAAATGCATTATTGAAGTATTGTAAGTGGTTTGTCTCACACTCTTTATTACTTCCAACAATTTCCATTTTATATCTAATGCATGTATTAAATGATCAGATTAGCAGTAATAATGACAGAAATTTGAGAAAAATATTTATATATAGTGATTATGTTCCTGCCATATATACAATGGTTTTTGAAAGAAATATTTGGAAATGGTGCATGATACACCATTTTTCTCATTTTGTTTTTCTATGTAAGATATTTTTAGTTAGGTAATTTTTAGTATGTCTCCCTTTTAAATGGGTTTGATCCTCAGCACAACATAAAAATCAATAAAGATATAAATATATTCTATTAATTTCATAATGACCATACATAATCTTAAGTAATATCTAATGTCAATTCCAATGATGATAATCCTATTTACATGTTAAGAATAGTATTTTTATATAAAATAGTTTATATTTTATTGCCAACACATGATTCATTTTAGAAGAGCTGCAAGTAAAATAAAATTCCACTGTTAGGATTACAATTCATCATCTTTTTAAACATTTTTTTCATGACTTTAAACAATGCAAAAACACTGTTTTATCATATCATGACTACAAATTAGTAGAAGAAAAAATAAATTATTATAAGAGGTGTCTAGCTGATATTTAAGCGAATTCTTGATTATTCAGGGTAAAATTAATCCATTTGTGGATGTTTCCTTTCTTTGCTCATTCTTCTCCTTTCTGCTATACATACATACCTGGTAGCTATATTACTAGAATTTAAACTCATCAACATTGGCTTGATAGGAGAAGAGGGAAGAGAGATTAATGAACATTCACTAAAATTCAGTGTTTTTAGCTCTTTTGTGGTTTTGTCATACAGTTCCATTTTTTGGGTATATTTAAAAAAATAATCCTTATAATCATTTGTATAGCTACTATACAAGGTTGGTATATTTATATTTGGCAAAAGGAGATTTAATCATGGCCTATTAACATTTTCATTAGGTAATACATGGTAAGGGCTAGACTTGGATTTTTGCCTTAACTACATAGAACACCAAAGATATGGAATTCTCCTACACATATTTTACATACTAACTTATGCATCTTGACTTTATTGATAATTTAATAAATCTAATTGAATTAATCTGCACACATTTTGGCTCTAAATTTGGAAAATGCCTATTTTAATATTTTAAGACTCAATTTTATGAACTGGTACTAACATGGATGCCTTTAGCTTGTATACAATTGGTATAATATTTGAATTCATTGGGTTTTGCTCATTTTCTGAATAACCAAAAGTTGACAGTACGGGCCTGACAAGAAGTCAAAAAAGCAGCTGTGACTTTGTCTTTAATTCAGATCTTTGGAATCAATTTGAAACACGCCTCAGGCTTACAATTCCCTGTCAACAACAACTCAGTGCACTTATATATGATAGTACACCTTTTGTCATTACCGCACAACAGTTATTCAAATATGAAAACTGTACACTGATTAACATGGTATAGGCAGAGAGACCAACACACAGAAACAACTAAGGTTGAAAGTTATTTCATGGAATATGCAATGACTCCCAAATCTTCAAATTCTTCATGTTTCTGCATTCATACATATATGCATGTACTGGCAAACAGTCCATAAAGAAATAAAACTAAAACTTCATGAAGTACATTTTTACCAAAGCATTATGGTTCTGAAAAACTGTGTTTTAACTCTTCTTGTTCTAAATCAACTATGAAAACAAATTTGATGTCAACAATTGCAACAAATGTTTTATACATGGCAGTTTGAGCATTTGCTTTATTTAAAGTTGATTTAAAAATTTTTCTAAACATTGACAAGAGCTATGGATGTATTCTTGCATCTAACAGRCCACAACAATAACTCTAGATATAATATTTTATTATTTTATTATAGCATTATATGGGCTTCATAAAATTAATATTTACATATTTGGTGGAGAAGGTATGAAAAATCATTATCAGGCTGTCCTGCATTTTTGTTGATAATACTTTTTTCCTTTGCTATTAATAATTAGTTTTTTTAACTAGGTTTTTTATTTTTATTTTTTTGTTGAAGAGCAAGAGAAATACACAGATTATCTTTTTAGTTTTATAAATTTTTAACTGAATAAATAACTGATTACTCCTCATTTTGTATGTTATTTAACATAGTGTCTTGATAAATATTTTCTTACTTATTAGGAAAACTGTGGATTCAAAAGCACAGTAAAGAAGAGAATATATATTTAGTGTTGCTGGATTCTCTAAGAAGTCATTTTTACTGGCATTAGGATTTGTAGCCCTAATTCCTAGTAAGTAATATGTTAATGATTATGGGCCCTGGGAATTTAAAGCAGTGGACATCAGAAGACCAACATTGGCTGGACTGGAAATATACTAAGTCTCCTAGTTTTACCTTCCCCTTTTGGTCAGAGTAAATAAATTAAAAGGCAAAARTATCTGAATGAGGCTGTATAGCAAGAAGCAACAAGCTAGAGAAGAACCATTATAAGAAGATAGAAGTGGTTGTTAAAACTTGAGAAAGAAGACATACACAATGAAGAGAGTTTTGGTGATATGAAGAGCACACAGGAAAGTAAATAGCAAAGAGTAAGAAAAGTGAAACTATAATGCATACATACTCAGCATATTTATAGTATTTGGAGGCCCCAAAGAAATACAACACAAATAATTAGTGCAAAAMCATTCTGATTACAACAGTTCAGTCAATAAAGAAATAAAAACTAAGTAGATTAAATTATATATATGTACATATATATATGTGTGTGTGTGTGTGTATACATATAAGAATATATGCTATCTTAATAAAAAAGAGACATTGTTTAATGCAAATAATTTTATTATATATTTACAAGTAATCCGACATTGGGTAGAAGAAATACCTACAGTATCATTTTAATATAAAATGACAAATGACTTTAATAAATTAAAATGACCATTTTTACTGAAAAATTAAATAGCAATCATGTAAAAATAGTTTTAAATAATCAATAATTTTTTCTGTATACTATTTTAAATATAGCACACATGTCCAAAGGAATAATGGGCAAAGCATACATGTCATCAAGTAGGCATGGTCTGGCGGTGACAGTGAGGATGGGACTAAATGAGTCAGGAAAGMAAGCTGAGKGCTGAGTGGTTGCAATTTAGGTCARTTTAGTTCTCGGTATGAAGTTAGAGAATGCTGAGAATGTGACATTAATTAGTGATAAATGATGGTACCCTGTTACCTTTTGCGGGGATGAGCAGTGAATTTAATGAATTAAAGAGTGGCAGAACAACAKAGATGGGAAGAGAACTCTTCAATGGTCCTATTTTGGGAAGTAATGATATCAAGACAGTGATTTAGTGGTTTAGAGTATTTTAACATTTTCTAATCCTTACAACAATATTTTAACCTTTGAGTTTGCAGGTAATTTGATGTAAGCTATCATTAATGGTAATGTAGTCTAGATGGAACCACCATAAGGACAGTTAATTTTCACAAATAACAAGTAGGCTAAAATAATTACACATACAGAGTATATAATAAAATACAAACAACTTACAACCTTAAATGATTTTATATTTAACTCTAGTGATTTTTATTTAATAAGATTTGATAAGCTTTATCTTAAACGTGCAAACAGAAAAGGGCACAATTGGTTCCACTGAGATTGTACCAAATAACAAATTGAAGGCAGGATCTAGGATATTCTTGGATTGTAAGAATATACGATGCACCACTTAGACTTTAAATGAGATTCCTGCCAAGGAGGCTTTGATTAAGCTGTTGTTACCTGGATATTCATCGTAGAGAACTGAAATTTAGGAATATGTTTTGTTGTTATGTAGGATTAGCCACACCAATTGTGCTTACAGTTTGTTTTGTTTTGTATTTACATTCATATAACATAGGTACCAGTATAAAAACTTCTCAAGAAAACATCTTTTTCCACAACACAAAATACCAGTACTTTGCAATGGAGCTCTTATTCCAATTATTCAAATATTCAAATGCTATTTGTTTGAAGCAAAAAAAAAAAAAACAACAAAAAAACCCCACAAAGATACTGGTCACAAAAAGCATTAACCATGCAGTTGTTAACAATACAGGCTAAAAAAGATGAGGCTTCTTTGAAAACTGCCACACATGGACAGAGGTTAACTGATTTCCCTTGTTCTCATCCAGATTGGTTTCTGAACAATTTTTCTTGCCCCAGAAATTACATAAAAATTATCAGAAAAAAATTACTCACTCCAAGGTCACCTGAGCCACAGCGTCCATTGAACTGTATCCATTTTCCATGAAAATCTCTGTATACCGGCCCATCTTGATTGCTTCTAGCCATTCACCTACTGATCTATAGGCCCCAGATCCTAGAGGGCCATGTTCTGCCAACAAATTAGATACTCTAAAACACATAAAACATAAATATTAAAAGAACACTTTAATGCTTTTTTAAACAAAATTTACTGAGACTATAAATATAGTTACAGGGAAAATATACAAATGCTAACATGAAAGCAAATGGTTCAAAGTACATGACAACATAAACTCAGTCCACTGAGTACTTAAAAAACCCATGCTTATTTAAGTTAATATTTCAGGAAGTTCTGAAGCCATTTATTCTTTATTTTCTGTTCTTATATTAGGGTGATTGTTATTTCACCTAGAGTAAGTATCAGAACTTAGAAAATAAATTAATTCAAAAACATATAAAAATTGAAAATAACCAACCCAAACATTATTTGCTTTAAGGTAAACAAATCTGCAAACTTTGGTAATAATAAAAATGAGATATCAATGATGATTTCTAGAAATGCATCCAAAAGGTACCTGAAAGTAAAAAATAATTTACATGCTCATAAATTGGAGATTACCTAATTATACTGCAACCATAGGATACAGAACACAAATATCTGTCTTTGTACTCATAGTATTTGCATTTATCTCACATTCAATTTACATTTCAATCCACTTGAGTGTGGTTTCTACAAAACCCAATTCTTGATTGAGTTAAGGTGAGCAATAATCTCTATTTTGTCAAAAGGAATGAACACTTTTAATCTATAAAATGACTGACCTGTRTGAAATAAACAACCATCACCATTACCATAGTTCTCCTGAAATCCACTCTATACCAACATTGTTTTGAATTAATATTCTCTCCTTTTTTTGTGGGGGGGACGATTTTGTGTTCCTACCTACTCCTCAATCTCCTTTGACTTTGACTTTCTCTTTGGYTGACTTTAAAATTTGGAGGGAGTCCGAACTTATCCCTATGTCTTCRCTAATTGAGTTATAACTTCACTGTACTCTAGTCAATTTTACTCACTGTCATGGCTTCAAATGTCATCTGTTTTTCTGTTTGTTTTTATCTCCAGACTAGGTTTCACATTTCTCATAGGAACATCATGCCAGCATGTCTGATACTGCAGTCCTCATCGTTCCACACACATCTCCTACACTCATGATCCTCAATATAATAATACAATAGTGTACCTTGTCTTCACTCTCCTTGCAATAAATCCACAGAATATGCACACAACTCTCCATTCTACCTTGAATACACTGATATCTGACCACTTCTCTTTCCTCACTACCTTATGATACCTATTATAGTTTTGTCCCCMAAAAAACTTTTGTGTTGAAGACTTAGTCTCCAATGCAGCAATGTCCAGAGGTGGGACTTTTGGGAAGGGATTCAATGATGAGGGCTCTAATGTCTTCAGTGGATTAATGCATTTGATAGATTAATAATTTGGTGGACTACTGGTAGGAGGTAGCAACTGTAGAAAAGGTGGCTTCTAGTTGGAAGTAATAGATCACTGTGGTGGGGAGCATGCCCAAGAGAACCATCTTGTCCCCTAACCCCTTCCTTTTCTTTTCTTCATAGTGACAATGAGCTGAGCTATTTTCCTCTGCCGTTCCCTTCCACCAGGATGTTTCTTCTTTTGGATTGAAACTTCTGAAACTATGAGCCAAAATAAATCTCTTCTATAAGTTGTTCTTRTTATGTATTTGTATCACAGTCATGAAAAACTGACAAACACAACACACATGTCTCACTTGCACAGTCACTAATGCCTCCAAGTTATCTTTTTGACTTCTACTCTCACTCTCTACTCCAAAACTGAACACAACTGTTTTTGCAACTTTTATTTTGTTCAATATCTCTCTCCTCCAACTGTGTRTTGGTAGCATAAAAGTACATATCTAGGTCTATTTACCTAATGCTGTATAATCAGCACTTAGCTTACAGTATGACACKGACAGAATGGTGTGTATTTGTTGAATAATTAAATGAATAAGTTTCAGTAATTATTAAATATTATGCAATGGGTTCCAAATATTGTTTGAGATAGAAATTTAGGAGAAAATAGTTGGAAAGTATGACTTTGAAGATGAAATGCAAGAGTTTCAATTTCTGGTAAAAACAAGACCTACAATATGATAATAGAAAAGAGAGTCTTAGTAAGTTAGAACACAAAATAATTGAAAGAAATAATTCCAAGAAACTAAAAGATGTTGGAAAATCATCTTATTGAAACCACCAAATCTTGTGACATGAGTAGGGAAGGAAAAAACAATAGTGAACCAGGAATTAATGACTTTAAGACTTAGGATTTGCAGATGACTGCACAAAGGACAGTATAGTGTKAAAGCTAAACCTACTCAAACAAAACCTAGCAAGCCAAATTCCATGTATTAAGAAGAAAATGTGTAAATTCTTAAAAATTTTAAACTATTCTCAAGCTCAATGATGATGGCCACGCAATTTAATATAATTTAGAACATTAAGAATTTCTTTTATTATTTCYTCTCCTATGTCCATATGTGACAACATAATTCAAATAAGCAGAAAAGGCTTAATAATTTACATGACAATAGGCGATTTAAGATTAGACATTAGAGAGCAACACACAGAAAAAAAAATTTCTATGAAGATTCATTCTGCATTTGTTACCTCAGGAAGTCAATGATGCCTTAACAGATTTTGACAATTCTTCCTCATTTATATTTAAAATGACCTTTAGTCTAGTAAGCAAATGCTATGTCAGAATCATAGAACTTATGTAACTTGATCCACAAATTGTTTCTCATTTAGTTCACACTAACAGGCAAACAATTCAGTTATCTGCATAATATTATTTCTTGTCAAAATAGACAACTGCTTCAATCACAGTTAAAACAACAACCTGGTAAATTTTCTAGTTTATAATCAAACTGATATATATTAGAATAAAATGGCAGTTTTTTAGATAATGAAAAAAACATAATTTACAAGTGTGCAACACTATTAAATGCATTTATGCTGCCATTCAGAAAAGTAGAAACAWGAATATTTGCTCACACAAATTTTCTTCACAAGATTACTTATTTGTCAGCTTTAAATCTTSCTCAAACTGCCCACTAAATGATTAACCAAATAATCTTATGTAACTGAATATGAGCAAAATGGGTATCTAAGTTTTCAGTACTCATAAAATAAAAACACTAAACCTATTTATATTTAATTACAGATGCTAAAATGTATTCTAAAGAAATAAAAGTGTAATTTTGGTTAGACATTTCTGGTTTAAAATATAAAATATATAAGGTTTTAAATGGCCTTTCTTTATTCCTCAATCTACACCTATCCTCCAAAAACATATAAAAACACACCACTTGAGTGTTATCTTTTTATTGCTACCTGAATGTAGCTAATTTTTTTTTCCTGCAACAGGCACATTAATTATCATATAGGGTAACAATGCTTTTAAGTATTATCACATATTTCCTTCATTATAAGACAAAAAGCCATATTCAAATATATCAGTGTCTTACAAATTCATAGATTAACATGTATGTAAGAATGATTTAATTGATGAAATAKTTGTGGCATCTTTCTGAATGAGATACATTCAGAGAAATTGCTCAGGTCTGGTTTTTACCTGCTTGAAGCATTAACCAGAGTTTTCAGACTACTTGGGTTGCGAATCAGCTTGTCCAACATGTTGACTATTTCATCAAACTTGGGCCTGCTATTCCGGTCTTTCTGCCAGCAATCCAGCATTAATTGATAGAGAGCAGCAGGACAATCCATGGGGCTTGGCAAACGGTAGCCTTCCTCTACTGCTTTAATCACCTGTATAAAGCAAAACAGAACCAGTCTTCAACAGCATAATAGAACAGAATAAATTGAGAAAATTCCTACTTTCATTCTCATTCATTCTTTCAACTTCAGTAATAACAAACCATCACTATTTTATTTTATAAATCCACAATTATTTTCATTTGCTGCAAAATAAAACGACATCATAGTATAAAAAAGATAGTCTTTCTTCACTTATTATAAATAAAACAAGCAGTTATCATTTTAACCTAAAATATTGGTGAAGGTTGATTTGTAAAATTAATTGACATAAAAATATATGTATGTTTTATTTAGTTTTGCCTTCTGAAATCAAATARAGAGTCAATTTTCTAGTGATTTCTCAGAAAAATTAATGTCTTTTTAATGAAAAAATATGTGCAGACTCACATTTTTCAAGTAATGGAATGAAAATTTTACTTCAAAAGAGATTTTGGGTAGTACATGATGGATAAGTCAAAGGTTAAATTAGCATAACTGTCTCATGTATCATTTAATAATGTCAAGGTCTGACTGTTTATTTTCATCTACTTGTTTCTGTCAGGAGTTTGGAAAGCTGTCTAGTAGCACAGGCGTTATAAACTCACTGGTTTTCAATGCTACCAGAGGTATCATTAGCAGTCTAATTGTGAGACTGTTTTTACCAAAAACATTTGTAATGTTCCTGCTGCCATCAACATATCTTAACTCTAGAAGAGTTTTATTCGTGCTGCTGCACAATTTTTATTCAATTATGAAAATGATAATATTTGAATGATACCAAAAATCAATATTAATGGATATAATTCTCAAAATCCTATTAAGAATATATCATTAACAAGTTTAACTATATTTTTCCACACACAAAAAAATTTAGATTAGATTTGATAAATGAAAATAGAAGTATTAGCACAGGAACTTTAGAAAGATCAATTTCAAGGATTGGAAAGAAATAAGTTTATCTATGAGAGAAATTGACATTTGAACAAAGACAGTGGCAGATGGAAAGAAGATGAAATGGTAGATTTAAGAGACACTAATGACCCAAGAGTAGAGGGGAGAGGATAGCAGAGATCACACAGTTCAAGCCCATCACATGGAACCGTTATTTCTGTTGACTTGAGGTGAGCAAATTTATGGAGAGAGAAAATGTTGTCAAGTATAATTTGAGATTTCTTTGATCGGAAGTGAATGGGGAACACCCAGATGGCAATTTACAGGAATCTGGCTAGAGCACAGGAGACATTTGGGCCGATAATATAAATGTGAGGGTCATCAGCACTTGGTCACAGCTTGAATTTGGTGTAGTTTACATCTCCCTAGGAAAAGCTTCCTAAGAAGTACCAATAGTTAAGTGTAGACTGAGAAATAAAAGTACTTTGAAAATAAATATTCACAGAAATAGATGGATAAATACAGACAAATGACCAAAAGAAACTACTTACCACCTTAGTTAACTTACTTAACTCAAAAACAATATAATCAATTAAAAAGCAAACCACRGAAAAAATTATTTCAACTACTACTATAATATATGTAGTACATTAAAGCTGATGCATATTGGGAGATCAAATAATAAAGAAAAGTGAGATACTGATTAAACATTTACAAAATATATATATTTTGTAAATATATTAGCATTTTATATATAAAGAAAACATTTATATATATATATATATATATAAAGAAAACATTTATTTATATATAAAGAAAACATTTATATATAAAGAAAACATTTATTCTCAATTGTGATAAAATAAATATTAAAAGAATAAAATGGCCATTTGCCCTCACATATTAATGGAAGTTCACTTATTCATTAGTTTGCTTATTATAAGACTCCCCATTGCAGATAGAATAGTTATTCTCTTCAATAGCATATATGTACCAATATAATAAGTCTTATTACAGTTTTGATTATTAAATATTTTTCTTCAGTGAAAATTTATTTAAAATATAATTTTTTTCATATTATGGTATTTTCCCAAAGCTGCTATTAATTACTTCTATGTTTTTCTTTAGCTTTACTAGSGCACAGTAGCACATACCTATAATCCCAACTACTGGGAAACTATATGCAGGAGGATTGCAAATTTAAGAACACCTTGGCAAATTACCAAATTCCCCTCTTAAAATAAAAAAGAAAATTGTCTTTCCTCTCTGGAGCAACTAGTCTTTAAATGAATTAATCAAATTAAATTCATTAGTTTTAAAATAACTTAGTAAGTTCTATGGTTTGAATAAAGATCATCTGCTGAATAGAAAAAGGTGGTGAATCCTTAAGAGGTTGGACCTAGTGGAAGATGATTATTTCATGATGGCTTGACCTTTAAATGTGATTAACACAGTTCCAACACGACTGGGTTAGTTTTCTCTAGAGAAGATTGTTATAAAGCAAAGCCATTCCTTGTGCGTGGCTTCCTCTGCATGTAAGCATTTCTCTTTCCTCTTCTCTACTATGTTGTGTTGCACCTGGGGGCCCATCACCAGAGGACTTGGCACCATATTGTTTGGATTTTTTAGCCTCTAGAACCTTGGGCTATATAAATATCTTTCCTTTACATGCYAACCACTTAGGTATTCTGGACATTTTAGGTATAAAATGGACATAAATYATATGATTTATGAAGTTATTTCCAAAATCTATTACTTAATCAATTCTGTTTTCAGGTAAATTTAGATTTAGAAATATAAATATCTTGTCTCCAAGTTAACTTAGAACTTGACCTCAGTATATATATAAATATAAATTGATTAACCTTCAGAACTGATTTTTAAAATAAATTTAGAACTATAACTTAAAATCTTATATTAAAAATTTCTTAATAATTTTTCTTTTCATTTTATTTTTGTTTTATTGTTTTGGAGAGAAATGAAAGACATCAGTATTCTGGTAGTTTAGGAAATGTTGAAAATCTACTAATGTATAATTTTTTAGGCTATTTATTTTAACATACAATTTATAGTATGTACCCAAATGAATCATAACCTCAGTGATTACTATCATCTTTGCTAATATATGTTGTTGAGATCAACAAAGAAAAGAAGGGAAAAAGAAAAAGGCAACTATAATTTTTAATCAAGTTCAGATGTACTATATCTGCAATACTAATATCAACTTTTCTTGACACTAAAATGTAAAGCAATTGTCTGAATACAATTTAAAGAAGGCTGTGTCTTCTTTCAAACCTCAAATCCTAACACTGAGCCACCAACATGGCAATATTATCTTGGTGGCAAGTTAGCTATGTTGGATTCCTTCAATCACGTAAACATTAATGGGTTCATCTTCTCAGATATATTTTTTCCCAGAATATGATGTTTGCTTGCTTATTACACCAATAGAGCTTCAGCCATCACTGGGAGCTCTGGAAGTCTTGATCCACAAACATGATATCCAATACAGCTTATCACTCAACCAGACTATTCTGTTCACAGTCTCGGATGTGTGAGAGTATCACACACTTCATGATGTGCTGGTAAATATTTAACAACTGACTCTCATTGGAGATACATTTGTAATATTTACACATTTATGTGGTATACACATCTTTTCCATGCCAACAGAAGCTACCAATAGAATCTTATCCAGTTAGAAATGTTCTAAAATGTTGTTATCTTGTACAGGTTGATTCCAGTACACCACTACATAAAGGTCATCATCCAGAAATAATGAGAACTGCAGAGGGCTAGAAAGATCTTTTAAGGCACAGCTAAAGTTGGAGGCAACGCTCTAAAATGTGTGTAGTCATTCTTCACTTTGCAATAATGTGTTAAATCTGTGTTGTACTCTATTCCCCTTTTCAAGAAAAATTCCACTGAGCTAACAGTTATAGATTACTGTTATGGATTACTAGAGAGGAAGAGTCACCATGATGGTAAGGGTAATTGCTACTGAGCAGCAGAAGGCAATGAGATAGGTAGATATGTGTAAAACTACCAAGAATAAGGTATTTATTCAAATCACCAAGCAGGACAAAACCATCATCTCCCAGTTTTATGGGTGAGGAAAATTTGGAATGGATAGTGGAGAAGAAAGGACAAGGACCATATGAGGTGTTGAGATCTAAAGAAGCTACTAGGACTACAGTTCATCCAGGAACCTGCATCTGCTGAATTTTCAAGGAGAAGCCAACATGATAATAGAAGCCTGTTCCTGTGCACAGAAGTAGGTCTATACTGAAAAAGGTCAAGAATTATAGGAACCATAAAAATTGTCTTGCAGATCTTCACCTGCAGGGATGATAATTAACCAAAACCAGCAGCTGCTATGTTGCCCAAATCCTTTCATCATGTGAGCAACAAAGCCATGATTTCCACAAGTTACCCAGAGTCAATTATTGAGCATGGCAAAGATAATAAGAAAGGCTCAGGCCTATGAAGTATGGAAATCCTATGAAAGACAATGTTGGCTTGAGGTCCTCTGGAATTTTTCTCCTCTCTTAGTACAATTCTGTCTCAAATGGTTATAGACAATCATCCTTCCTTCAACCTATAATGTACATGGGGAAAGAACTGTGCCACAGTCTAACACTGTTCCATGCTTCCCTTTATCCTTTCATGAGTTTTCTTTCAAAGATTTCCTCTTAATACCCTCATGTACATCTAATTCCCTCCTGGGATAGGCTGCTTAAAGGAATTAAAACTATCTTGTAAATTATATCATAGGCACAATGATTTAGACTTTACATATACTATCCATATTCATCTCAACTATAGATCTTCAAGATAAGAATTGTTTTACACACATTACATGAAACATCAGAGGTTCCAGAAGTTTAATTTAAATAATTCCAAAAAAGCAATCTGAGAACAGTGTGAACATTATACCATAAAATCATATCTGTTTTTCATAACATATAATACAAAGAATTTATATATGTTTGTGTGTATGTGTATACATAATCTATATATCTATCTCTCTATCTATCTATCTATCTATCCATCTATCCATCCATCCACAATCAAAATAGTCATTTTGTGAGAAAATGTATTCTTGATTACAGGAGACATGA